ACCACCTTCATTAACGGGCCGGTATAAATTATCGCGAGGATATAATTCACCCGGCACAGGGGCATATTTCAGTCCCCGGTCCTTGATGCCAGGATTTTGCCGGAGAGAACGAAGTGCTGGAAACACGGAATAGAAATACAGCACTTTTCGACGAAGTAGGTTGAGCTTACGTTAATAAAAAGGGAGATTTTTTTTTTGCAACGAGAAAAAATCACACTTACCTATACAAATTTTAATATTTAAAGCTGAAATATATTTAAAAGAATAAAATTTTGAAAAATCTCTCATAAAATTTAATCATAAATACCACCCAATAACAATACAAAAAAAAGTCAACAGGATAATATTAAAAGACAAAAAAGATAAAAGAAAAGTAAGAAAATCATTTTGAAAAAATTTACAAAAACTATAACAATACTATAAAATGTATTTTTATATGATGAGAGGACATTTTTATAAATTTTGATGGAAAATCTATCTAAAAGATGTGTACAGAGATTAGGGATTTGACGCATAAAGGCATGTTATTGTACACCAGAGTCAACACAAATTAATCTTATGGTAGAAAATAATCTAGTTTTAAAGTAGTATTTGGAATCACTCTTTTCTGTGAGGATTTAGATGAAAGTATACTTCTGATATAGGTATTTAATCTATTTTAAATATTGAAAATTTCAACAATATCGAGATCTCTCTGTTTGATCCAAACATGATCCTACGTACCCAAGTCCTATACAGACAAACCCCTTAATAGGGCTTTAAATGTCACCTAGAGCATTAAGGGTCAGCAGAAGGGACAATAGTCGACATCCCCCTGGCTTGGGCGGCAACCCTTTACTGCCCATACGACACGTCCATATGGCTAAACGATAACATTTAATTGTAGCCGGTGATTTTATCACCAAAATCTAGAAATTCTATAACATTGTCGTTGTCGAATGGTCTTTTCGATGCCCATATGTGTGAGGTCGATGAAAGGAGGGAGGCTTTTGTATTATGTAGTATCAAATGTATTGGTAAATTGTGATCTTTTGATAAGATTAGAATTTTATGATAAATTTAACAGTAAATTTAAGACAATTTGATTTTGATAGAATTAAAAATATTTGAAAGTAAGAACTACAAATTTCAACTTTACTTGTAACATATAGTTACATCATATTACAAGTGTAAACTTCCTGTCTTGAATTCGGGGTAAATGTCACTTTACTCCAAGGGAAGACGTCTGAAATGCTGACTTAGTAGAAATGGAGAGAATATCCCATCAAACTGAAGAGGCTATTTAACCTATATCTAAAAATAAACGGAAATTTCGTAGGATTGTCCTGAGATAAAATCGTGTTAAGCAATTTGGGGTGATTTATCAATTTTTCAATTTTTCTGAGTGCCTTTTTTCATAGATTTCGGCTTCAAATCTGAGAATAATTTAGTGTATGGAGTTTGGGGTATGTTGATTGACCATTAGAATACAAAATCTCGACAAAAAAAAAATTGAAATTTCATCGTTTTAGTAAAAAGGTAGGTATCTACCTTATGATTTAGATTTTGGAAAACTTTGAAAGGTCATAACTTTTTTTCTATTACAGATAGAAAGCTGAAGCTTTCACTGAATTTTATTCCAATCAAAAGACTACAATCCCTGAAAATTTCAGCTCATTTGCACTTATAGTTCCTGAGATAAAATCGTGTTAAGCAATTTGGGGTGATTTATCAATTTTTCAATTTTTCTGAGTGCCTCTTTTCATAGATTTCGGCTTCAAATCTGAGAATAATTTAGTATATGGAGTTTGGGTTATGTTGATTGACCATTAGAATACAAAATCTCGACAAAAAAAAATTGAAATTTCATCGTTTTAGTAAAAAGGTAGGTATCTACCTTATGATTTAGATTTTGGAAAACTTTGAAAGGTCATAACTTTTTTCTATTACAGATAGAAAGCTGAAACTTTCACTGAATTTTACCCCAATCAAGGGACTACAATCCCTGAAAATTTCAGCTCTTTTGCACGTATAGTTCCTGAGATAAAATTGTGTTAAGCAATTTGGGGTGATTTGTCAATTTTTCAATTTTTCTGAGTGCCTTTTTTCATAGATTTCGGCTTCAAATCAGAGAATAATTTAGTGTATGGAGTATGGGGTATCTTGATTAACCATTAGAATACAAAATTTCGACGAAAAAAAAAAATTGAAATTTCATCGTTTTTGTAAGAAGGTAGGTAACCTACCTTATGATTTAGATTTTGGAAAACTTTGAAAGGTCATAACTTTTTTTCTATTACAGATAGAAAGCTGAAGCTTTCACTGAATTTTATCCCAATCAAAAGACTACAATCCCTGAAAATTTCAGCTCATTTGCACTTATAGTTCCTGAGATAAAATCGTGTTAAGCAATTTGGGGTGATTTATCAATTTTTCAATTTTTCTGAGTGCCTTTTTTCATAGATTTCGGCTTCAAATCTGAGAATAATTTAGTGTATGGAGTTTGAGGTATGTTGATTGACCATTAGGTTACAAAATCTCTAAAAAAAAAAAAAATTAAATTTCATCGTTTTAGTAAGAAGGTTCCTTATGATTTAGATTTTGGAAAACTTTGAAAGGTCATAACTTTTTTTCTATTATAGATAGAAAGCTGAAACTTTCACTGAATTTTATCCCAATCAAGGCACTACAATCCCTGAAAATTTCAGCTCATTTGCACTTATAGATCCTGCGAAGGAATGGAATAATAGCTTCGTGGTTCTCTCCTTCTAAAGGGAAAAAGGACGGACACCAGAAATGACCGCCTCATCTCGTTATAATATCCCAGATGTATATAAAGTGCTCATCACCCATCATTACCAGTAAAAACCAAAAGGAAATTGGACAATGAATCGAGTAGATGCCGTTAGAGTTAGCACGACCAGAAAATTCAGTAAAACAGAAGATCCTAATAAGCTTAGTAAGGATTGTTGTTATAACCATAGGTTTGGAAATAAGGTGCACTGCTACTGGAAAAACATGTGCAAAATATCAAGGTCTTGTCCATTTTGCTAGGGTATGTACAGATAAAAGTGATTGTCATAAGAGTAAATTTTTCAAAAGAAAAGTCCAATGTGTGTCAACTAGTGAAGCTGGAAGTGACTATGAATTTTATGTATAAGTTCTATTGATAAAGTTAGAAGACAATAACAATGTGGACAAAGGAGGTATGGATCAATGGTAAGCCTGTAACATTCAAGTTAGACACCGAAGCCGAGGAAAGCACTTGAATTTTTTGAATAAAATTGCCCCAGATTTGTCTATTCGCAAACCAAATATTACTTTAATGTCATATGGTGATCGGAATTTCAAACTAAAATGTTTAGGTGAAGTTATGCTAGAGTGTAGAGTGGAGAAGTTCCAAGAAAGACTTTCTTTTGTTGTAGTTAGTGCTGAAGGTCAGATTCCTTTGTTGGCTTTACAGGAATGTTTAAAATTAAATTTAATAAATAAAGTAGATTCTGCGAGCAAACAAATGTTTTTTAAAACATTAGAGGATGTTGTTAATAAGTATTCAAATACTTTTGAGGATTCAGGAAAGTTTGAAACACAACATCATATAACTTTAAAGCCAGGCATAAAACCAAAAATAAAAGTGTTTTTTTTTTATAGTGTTTTCACTCTTGAAGGCCACATCAACGTTCACATCCAATAATAGGTGCTTAATTTTTTCTGAGAGATTTTCTTACATATGAAATTTTGAAAAAATTAACATTAGTATCGTTTTGAGCTGGTAAGGGAGTGTTGACAGGGTATTTATTTTTGATCAATTTTTTTAAAAATATTAATGCTAAGTTTTTCTGTTTGAATGTCGAATGTGATAAGGTTAATGCTCCATTTTTCAAGTTATTGATAATATTTATCTTTTGGCTTTGGGGATAATCAGAGTTATAATTTTAGAAATCTTTCAGAGAATGTTGGCTTGTGGTACCAGTCTGTAATAAGGTGTCCATCATTTTGCCGAACAATCAAGAGATCGAGGAAAGGTAGCTTATTATCCTTTTCAATTTCTAAGGTGAATTTTAGTCTCGGATGGTAATCATTAAAAGTGGTAAGTAATTCATCGGTTTTATTTTGTGGAACTGCTAAAAATATGTCATCCACGTAGCGTAAGAAAATTGGGACGTCAAAAGACAACTTTTGTAGACAGATGTTTCGTAGCACACTCATTACAATATCAGAGCATACAGTTGCCCATACCTAAACCAAATATCTGTTGGTGAATTATTTCCCTATAAACGAACCCAAAAAAATGAGTTACAGCGTCATAGACCAATAATACTCTCGGATATTTTTCCTTTTGAATGTGACACTTGTTAGAAAAAATTCAAAAAAAGGCGATTTGAAGAGACACAAACTTGAATGAGAAAAATTTCAAATGCAAAATATGTAACGCGAAGTTTAAACTAAAAGGTAATTTGCAAAAGCACAATATATCAAGACATTCGAATATTTATTCATTTGAATGTGACATTTGCCATGCAAAATTTAAACAAAAAGGTAATTTGCAAAGGCACATTTTAACACACTCGGATTTTGAATGTAACATTTGCAGAGCAAAATTTAAAGGAAAAGACTATTTGAAGAGACTCAAATTAATACATTCTGACATTTATTCTTTTGAATGTGACACTTGTAATGCAAAACTTAAACAAAAAGGTTTTTGATCGTTAATAAAGCCGTGATTTAAGATTTCGGCTATAAATTTGCTAGTTTGATACAATGGTGAACCTATAAAAGAGACCATTGGTCTAAGAGGGGCGTTCGGTTTATGTACTTTCGGTAAGAAATATATTTTCGGTGGAATTGCAGAATTTGTTTCCAATTTTTTGGCTGTAGCCTCAGGTACCTAATATTTTTTATTTGCAACCATATTATGTAATTTTGACATTACTGAACAGTTCAACATAACTCAAAAAAATACTTTTTTTTTTTGAATCCATAAAAGATACAAAATTGAATGAAAATTTATAATTTCTCACCCATTTGGATCAGCAACTCCGCCCTGCATCCATCCCCTGGCCAAAGGTTCCTCTTTGAGACTGGGACCTCTGGGTTGATGATGGTGCAACCCCGTACCAGGATCTTGGTGATGATGGAGACCGAACATCAGTCCGGCTCCGGTTCGAGTCGGGGTTGCCCCTGGGGGGTAGAGTTTGCGACCCCAGGCCGCCGCGGCGTCCAGCTCTAGACTCAGTGTGGGCCAGGGAGAAGGCGTCGGGACGCCGGGAGTGGACTCGTCAGACCGCGTGGTGGAGCCGTTCGGAGCACTCTGAAAAAAAATCACTTTTATTCAATAGTCATTCAATATTCAATTTTATCACTTTAGTATTACATGATGTTGATCAAAAAAAAAAAAATACATCTTCGGAGAAATGCAAATATAATATCAATGTATACATAGAAAGACATGTATCCGCTCATTATTGTTTTGTATTATACTGTTGATGAAAAACCCTCTTAATGAATCGTTCAATCGTCATCATTAATACCTGCATAACGGGGAGAGACAAATTATTAGCTAGTTTTAATAATTTATTAGAGATCTCTTTTTTGACATATGTATACTTAGTTGTTATAACATATTTTTTTGAATGCTTCATACGTTATTAAATTTGTCGAACAATTAGAGCACACCTATGTATACCAATAATAATTTAAATTTTATATTGTTTATTTTTTATTTATTTATTTTTTGAAAAACTAACACATCTACTCATACTATACATGAACTATCTACCTAGTAAATTTTTTATTTTTTTTTAGAAACTATTCGATCTTATTCACTTGTATAGGTTTGTATGTTTGTAGGTTTTCATGAAAATACTTTATTTAGCGTTCTCTTGATTTCTATATATTTTTTTTATTTTGTAAGTTTTTTCTCAAATATTTTCTCAATATTCTGTGGATTTTTTTAATTCTCACTTTTTATACTCAGATATGTTTTTAAAGAGATTTTTAAAGATTATTTTTGTTTTTTATAAGTAGATTGCATTTATTTTATTTTTTTCTAGTAACAATTTTTTTAAATCACTTTGAGTAGACTCCTGACATTAGTACTAGTGAAGTGCTGATATAATATAAGAAGTTACAAAACTAAACTAAGGTTTATAAATAGTGACTTTATGCTGAGTATTTCTCTATATGTTCCTAAAAAAAAAAACACGTGAGTTTCAAGTTAGATTATTTTAGATCTTTTGAAGAATCTCATTGGATATAGGCAATCTTAGTAGAAAATTATCAAGCAGAACTTACCTAGGTCAACAAAAAAATTGCCTCACGAAAAATTCCACTGAGATTCTAATACACTGAGAAAACCCGGACGTGTGTCTCAGACAATAAGCATACGCTAGACCACCCACGCTATAGGCTACCTATCACCAGAAAACAATTTTTTCAGACCCGACAAAACGTCTCGCGATACAAAGTAGTCTCCAGAGCGACAACACTGATGATGTCAAATGTCCCGATAGACTCCCGATTTGCTCCCTCGCGAGAGACATCCAAATCGCTACTGCTAACCTCAAGTTTCGCCTGCTACTGCCGTTATCCCTAGGGAGGAGCAACGTTCCCAACTCTGTCCTGCTCCACTCCACCTTTCGGTGTCCCCTTGCTTCGTCACGCTGTCCTTGGCCATTCACAGGCTCTCGCGCCAAGCTCTCGCGACCAATGTGGTCCTAGGATCGAGCGAAAAGGTGGAGCCTAAAACTAGTTGGGGATAGACGAGCTCCCCGGGGGTGAAGCTTGAAGGGGGGATATGAAGTTGGTGGCGCTAACTGGGGATGGGTTCGAGAAGTTTGAGGGGATGAGGTTGGAGTACAGGATTCGTTTGTTTTGGGGAACGATAGGATGTGGAGAGGCTGCGAAAGTTTGGAGCGGAAGTGGCGACGCGTAGGTGCGAAAGTGCTAAGTTCTGGGGGTTGTGTTGGGGATTATTGGAGAAATTATACTGTGGACCCGAAAAATTTGGATTCAAATAAAAAATACTTCGATCTAATAACAAGTTTTGAAGTTTTTGTCTTCAAGAAGCTTACCGCGAATGACAGATGGTTTCTGAGATTTATTTTTCTTCATTGATTTTAAAAATTTGATCATCGTATAAGATCTTACTTACTTTGGTCATACCTACATCCCAGATATTGGCACTTCACGTTTTCATCTTTAATTCTTTTAATATCTATTCTGATCTACACGGAAATCTAGCAATCCTCCTCAGGTATCTAGAATTGCCTTTAATTCATTTTTGTGTTATTTCCTAAAAATGTTCATGTCCGATTGCTTTTTAAGCAATTTGGAGTGATTTATCAATTTTTCAATTAGCCTTTTTTCATAGATTTCGGCTTCAAATCTGAGAATAATTAAATGTATGGAGTTTAGGGGGTTCCAAAGAACCATTAGAACACAAAATCTCAACAACAAAAAAATTTGAAATTTCATCGTTTTAGTAGGTAGGTACTTTATGATTTAGATTTTAGAAAACTTTCAAAGGTCATAACTTTTTTTCTATTAAAGATAGAAAGCTGAAATTTACAGCGATTCTTATCTCAGTAGAGATATATCCCTGGAAATTTCAGTTCATTTGGACCTATAAGTAGTTCCAGAAATAATCCAGTTCTCTGCTTAAGGTATCTATCATTCTACGAAAACCAGCCAAAGTTTACGAAAATTCTTCAATAGAATAAATACCTATAAGTGAATGAGAACTAAGAGGTAAATAATCGTGCATGCGGTTCTTGAATAATGTGCTGAGAAAGATACCTAATACTTGGACTTGGGAACAACACAACAACCTACAAAGAAAGGAAGCTTTCAAAGAGCCTAAAATTAGGGTATATAATAGAGTTCATCTGTGTTTATTAAGTAAGAGACTTGATGCATAATAAGCAAGCCATGTTTGTGAAGGAATTTTGTAGTACCTAACTGTATTAATAGGTACTAAATGGGAATTTTAAGTACCCAAGAAGTACATATTGTTGGTGGTAGGCACTTTTAATAATATAGGTATAATTATTATTTCTGTGTGTACCTAAGTAAGTATTTACAATTCATAATAATGTGTTGTGAGCATAGCAAGATATCCACAAATTTTTTTCAGAATTCCCAAGATGATTGCAGATTTCCGTAAATCTAGCAAGATTTCACTAGATCTTTCTAATTTTTCAGAAATTTATTAGAATATGAGATACAATACTTTTATATTAGTGGAAAACCCGGTAACGTCATAGATATCCTCTCAATCAATAAAAAATTAAATTGTGCACGCAAGATTCCCATTAGATTTCCTCAGATATTCCTCTCTTCTCTCATAGGTCTCCTGAGATTTCACAGAATCTTCCCAGATTTCCTTTAGATTTTCCTGAATGTTTGGGTTACCCCTTATTGGGGAATAAGGGTTGGCATACACAAAAACTCATTTTGAAAACCCAGTGGAAAAACCCACTATCAATATTGACAAAAACCCAGTGGGCGTTTTGTGTCAAAAATTACACATTACTATACAAAAAGCAGTCCCAGAAACGCTTTCTGGTCTTACGTCATTCTCTTCTTACCTTATGTTGTAGATATTTCAATTCAAACCTTCCAAATGGCACAAAACATTAAGTCAAAAATAAAATTTGAATATCACAAATGTGAAATTTTACATGTTTCCAGCTTTTTTCAAATGGGATGCCCTATATTTCATTCTATATTCTTGAAAAGCACAATGTTCCGATTCCAAAAATATATAGTTTGTCTATATTTGATTGAACAGTCTCTCATATATTCGGCTCCAGAAATTGTAAAAATACTATCCTACTACTGATTTTGTGAACCATTCTATACCTGTATAAGGTGATAGCTGCAGGTGAAATTTGAGGTACTTGGTTTCTCTGATAGTATTTTTAAAATTTTTGGAACCAAATATGTTGGAGACGGCTCAACCAAATATAAACAAACTATATAGTTTTAGAATCGGGAAATTGTGCTCTTCAAGAATATAGAACCAAATATATAGCGCATCCCATTTGAAAAAAGCTGAAAGTACCTATACAACATTTCACATTTCTGACATTCAATTTTTGTTTCTGACCATGGATTCTAAAAATTTAGCCAATACTGTACAACTTTTGTATTTACAGCTTTCATTTACTTATAAAGGTAAAGGCTATTATAGGTGGGGTGTTAATATTTGAAAAAACACCCTGTACTTGAATAATAACTTATTATATAAAGTCAGAATTTGTAAGATTATCCACTTTTTGTCAATTTGCCTTTTACCAGGAATTAGTAATATAACGTGACAAGTTATTCAAAATGCGTGGATTGTTGCGGAACTTATGGGTGGACCTCTGCGGGACGAGCGGAGCGAGTTCCGCAGCCATCTATTTATCAATATGTAATTACGATACTAACCTGACTCACTCAAATGTGAGTTGCCTTACTTGAACAGTTCAACAGTATATTGGTGAGTAGATGGCTGCGGAACTCGCTACGCTCGTCCCGCAGAGGTCCACCCATAAGTTCCGCAATAATCCACTTATTTGTACTTGAACAATAGCTCATTAAATAAAGTCAACATTTGTAAGATTATGATTATTCACTTTTTGTCAATTTGCCTTTCAACAGGAATTAGTAATGTAACTTTACTAAACTAGTAACATAATGTGACAAATTATTTGAGGACAAATGAGTGAATTATTGCGGAACTTATGGATAGACCTCTGCGGGACGAGCGCAGCGAGTTCCGCAGCCATCTATTCATCAATATAATGTTTAATTACGATACTAACCTGACTCACTCAAATGTGAGTTGCCTCACTTGAACAGTTCAACAGTATATTGGTGAGTAGATGGCGGTCCACCCATAAGTTCCGCAATAATCCACTTATTTGTACAGGGTTTTTTTTCTATATATTGACACCCCACCTACAGCCTTTACCTTTACAGGTAGAAGAAAGGTGTAAATACAAAAGTTGTACAGTTTTAACTGAATTTTTAAAAACCATGGACAGAAACAAAATTTGAATGTCAGAAATGTGAAATTTTGCATGCTTCCAGCTTTTTTCAAATGGGATGCCCTATGTTCCGATTCCAAAAATATATGGTTTGTCTATATTTGATTGAACAGTTTCTCATATATTCGGCTCCAAAAATTGTAAAAATACTATCCTACTACTGATTTTGTGAACTATTCTACCTGTTTAGGTGAAAGCTGCAGGGAAAATTTGAAGTACTTGGTTTCTCTGATATAGTAGTCCAAATATGTCGGAGACGGCTCAACCAAATATAAAC